AAAAAAAAATAATCTAGAAATTGTAACAATCTCCCCAATAATTTTTTGAACCGTCCAATTCGGATTTTTCAATGAGAAATCGTTGATTGAAAAGTGCACTTTTTGGGGGCCTCGAGTGGGCTGTGACGTCACAGCACTGTAGTCGCCATGCCTCACTCACTCTCGTAGCGGGAGTCGACAGAGCCGACGCGCGCTGTCTCTCAAATGAATTATTAACATTGATAATCCATATCAAAATCAAATTTTTTTCCGTGGAATATTTTTTTTATGACACATAGAACAAATTGAAAGGGGAATTTGATCAATTTGAAAAAAATGTATGTTCCCTATTGTCCGGGGTTATTGCAAATTGATCTCTTTAATTCAGTAGCGAAGTGTGAACGCGATAAGTCAAGATTGACTATTGACCAGTTTTTAGTGGATATCTCGGAATCTAAGGGAGGTGGTAAAATTTTTGTTAAGAGCTTTTTTCTAGAGCCGATTGAGAGCTACAACAAATGTGGTTACGAAAATTTCGCTATCTCCCTTAGATTCGGAAATATTCCTCAAAAACTCAAATGGGAAATGAGCCGATACGTTTTAACAATTCGCTACTGAGTTTAGTTCGTGTTTTAATTTAGTCCATGGTTGTTCAGAGGATTAAATGACTTCCATTAATTGATGAATAATAAGTTTAATGTGAGGAAGTTGAGGGACGATTTCATGGAATTTTTTTTATTCATTTAAAGGAATAAAAAAAATCCTCGTGAGGAATTAGATTTTTCTGATTTTTTAATTTGGTGAGGTTGATTTTTTAAATGTGATTGCGGATCAGGTTGAGGACCTGGAGATTTTAAAATATTAAAAATTTAGAATATTGAAGAATTATTAGGGATTGGTTTGAACAGATTTTTTTAGCTGGCGATGATTAAAAATTTTAATGTGAAGAAATTGAGACGAGGATTTCAGCGAATTTGTTCATTCAGTTGAAAGAAAAATACAGAGGCTTTTTCTCCACTGATTTTTTAATTAGTCGAGGTACTAATTACCTGCGTAGGACTCTTACACCGCGTATTCCTTGTCTTCTTCTTCTTCTCGTCCTTGATCGCCGGATAAAGAGGATCCACCGAATTCTCGTGCTTCGGGGACTCGAAGCTAACGTCAAACCCCGAGTCTGAGGAGCTCGAGAGCTCGTCAAAGCCATTCTCACTGCAGAAAGAGTACTCGGACGACATCGTACACTGCAGAATTCTAAAAGCATTCAGTATCAATACCGATATTACAATTCCGCGCAAATCAGCAGCGAAGTTATCAAACGGTTTAAGTCGATTTTGGCAATGGCCAGTTTTCAATGATTATCTCGAAATCTAAGCGAGATAGCAAAATTTTTCTCATAACCCTTTTGATAGCTCTCAATTCGCTCTACAAAAAAGGTTATAATGAAAATTTCGCTATCTCCCTTAAATTCGGAAATATTTCTGGAAAACTCAACTAAAGACTAAATTGACTCGAACCGTTTGACCACTTCGCTACTGAAATACTTCAGTAGAAAAAATGGGTTCCCGCACAAAATTCTTTGGGAAAAAATTCTTTGGCAAAAATTCCTTCTGAAAAAATTCCTCCGGAAGATTCCTTCGGAAATGATTTTTTCATGCAATATTTCCTCCTGTAAAAATGCCTCAATAATTCTTTCCCAGAACCATGGGATAGAAACTTGTTTTGGACAGCATAATCTCTCCGAAAATCTCATAGTTGACTAAAAAAATATTTAACCAATATAAAAAAAAATATTTCCATTTTTTTTCTCAATTTTTTTTTCCAAAGTAATTCAGTAGTGAAGCGGTAAACCGGTATAAGTCGATATCAACTATTGCCCAGTTTTCAATGAATAACTCAAAATCTACGGGAAATAGCAAAATTTTTTTCATAACCTTTCTTTTGGAGCAAATTGAGAGCTACAAAAAAGAAAATTACAACAATTTCGCTATTTCCCTTAGATTCCGAGATATTTATTGAAAACTGGCCAATAGTCAAAATCTACTTATAACGGTTTACCACTTCGCTACTGATAATTATTATTTGTCAAGTAATTTTTTCAAAAAAAATTTGTTCTGAAGGAATTGTTTCCAAGGAATTTTTTCCAAAGGAATTTTTTCCAAAATATTTTTTCCAAATGAATTTCAGGCGGACACCGAAAAAATGTGGACTTTCAAACTCACGTTTAAAAGAGCTTAATCCAATGGGAAAAAAATCACAGTGCGAGCCTCACTCGGGGTCATTCAAAGGTACTCGCCACAAAAATATGATGTCTATGATACAGCGTATCCGCCAGTCCTACACGAACCGATAAACTCGGGGTACGAGTGAGCACTGGGTACGTACGAAGGGTCTCCAGTGGCATATATAGGACTATCCATCGGGGGTTGTAGCACTGGTACCCCCCCACCTTGACAACATATCGAGAGAACCCCTAGCCACTGTATATGGGGCACCATGCGGAGGGAGACAGAGCTACTGGATTTACCCTCTAATCGTGCAGTGGGGTTTCTCCGCCCCGTTTTTTTCTTTTCTCTCCGTATTTTTCTCTCCCCCTCCTGCCGCTCCGCTCTCTGAAAATCTATGACGCGTGCCGCGGTTGCAACCGGACGCCTCGTTTTCGGATTAGCGGTCGGATGACCTGGCTCTTTCAAATTCCTCTAAACATGAGTAATTAGTTATTAGTTTGTGATTATCACCGAGAAAACTAACGCCTGAATTTCAGACACTTGTAGACACTTTTCAAACACTTTGAGACGATTTTGTAGAGACTTTTGAGACATTAAAATGTGTCTGAACCAAAAAAAAAA